TTCTGTTGATATTGATTGATTGGTTTTTTGACGTTTTATCATTAAGGACATACAAGAAATCGTCTAATTGACTGATTGCTTCGACAAACAAAGAAAAAGTTAAGAATAAACATCAAAGGGCAGAAAAAAGAAAGATTAAATTGTGTACAAGAAATTTTGAATAATAAAAAAAAATGTTTGGAAAAATTTGACTGAAGAAACTTCAATTTTTCTGATGTGCCTTCACTATACCAACACTATAGCATATGGAAAAGACTATCATGGGGATTCTGGTTTGGTTTCTGAGAATTTTATACTTCACATGAAAGTTATTAAGTATATGTTGATGCTGTTTGATTTTTTAAAGACATGGCTTGTGTAAGTGTCATTAATTTCAGTATAACTCGCTTGGAATTTATTGTCTTGAACAAACGAAAACAGTAAGATGTATATGCGTAGCAAGTTTCATATTTGCACATCTGTGTCTCTGCGTTTTACCGTTAGTATTAACTTAATTTTAGGTCTCTTTCACGCTTTGAATAGGAGACAAATATATGAATATGTACAACATGTGGTTACAATGTCGGAGACTATTACATAGCTATCACGTACATTTGAACATCTATTGCTGTAACCTTTATGAATCAAGAGCTAAAAATTCAAAACACCAATGGGTATTAACAGTACATTTCATCTTCGAATGGACATTATTTCTAAGCGTTGTAAATTAAACTATAAATTTCGATTTTTAAAATGAAACGACAAATTCAAGCTGCTGTGCATAATGTATTGGCTAAATGAGTGTAAACTAGAAAACATGCTTATAAAAACTTACCAAAAATCGTTTAAAAACCTGCAGTACCTTCGACCCAAGATAGTTACAAAAGATTTGATATTTACGTAGGCAATGTTTTCACCTTAGCAGAAAGCAATTTTCAGCCACGACATCGAAAGCGACATGACGTGGAACCGGTATTCAGCGTTGCCAGACCTGCCAGACGAAGAACTTCGAAAGCGGTAGAATAGACAAAAAAAAACGGTAGATAATTTATTGTCCCTAACCTTATGTTTCTCCAATTTTTAAACGGTTTTTGAAGGTACTTTTGAAAAAAAATCGCCTTTTGAACAAAATATTTTATTAATAACTCAATTTACAGAAAATAACCGAGTTGTACTACTCTATCGAAACCTGCCAAATGACAAAATAGATGGCAGCAAAGCTACCAAAACGGGCAATTAAAAATAATCATTCCTTTGTACATAAGTTTTGCCTAACTAACAAATAAATTATGACAAAAACATATTTTTAAATATATCATAACTTGATGAAAACATGTTTTATTTTTCCAATTGATTCAAATAACTCATTCTGAGGCAGAAAAGCTATCAGACGCTTTGTACGTGTTACTATTAAGATATTTCAAGAGCTTTTTATCAATTTTTAAATTGAAGCATTCTCTGCAACCTATGTATTCTTTCGAATGCATTAGACCAACTAATACAATATACAATTGGTGGATAATAGATTTTTCCTTTGAATATAAAACTAACGTTAAGCGTTAACTAAGTTAGTTTTATGTTCAAAGGATTTTTCTGCTAAAACGTTAAAGCGGTAGACCTGGCAAGCCGGCCGGTATTACAACCAGTTGGGTACGTTCCATAGTTGCGGCTGTTCTCCCTTGTTTGTTGTACGAGTGCGAGTGAGCCAAATACAAACAACTCCACAACTGTCCACAACCATTTTCTGAACGTGATTAAATGCTTGACAAAGTCGAGGAAAAATTGTCAAAACCACATGTTTTCACTATTTTGTTTGAAGTTCATTTAGGAAGGATTTTATCGGTATTTCTTCAATTTTTTCCGTATTTCTCAGTGAAAAATAGAAAATTGTTCCAAATGAAAGTCGAAATAGAAGATATGGACGTCAGCACCATATGTGACTCAGTCGTAAGTTATGTACTATTTACATGCCATATATAGTTATAAAAACCTATGTCAGGTTGAGGTTAAATTTGTTTATCTTTTTTGCATAAACAATAACTTTTAAACTTTGATTTCAACCAAATTTAAGTTGAAAACTGATGAACATATCATTGGAGTCCCTTCGAATTTTCGGTTTTTGTTGTTTTGCCTTTAAGAACACTTTATATTAAGCAGTTTCAGCGAAAACAATTCCTGGATGGTCTAGTAATGAAGCCAAAAAACACAACAAACAACAACTTTTGAAATTCGCTTTCCCAAAAGCATTTATTTATTATTATCACGTTCTTTATTTTCAATAAAGTAGACTTGAAACATGAATTTAACCAGTTTCAGTGAGAAAATTCTTGTATCATCTATAAATTTTCCGAAAAACATTTATACACATTTAGTCAGATCTCTAGTAAAGGGTTATTGATTAAACTTGAGTTGGTTAAAGTTCTCAATACAAATTTCGGTATACGTTAAAGTCGCCAACTTTTGTTTTTCGTATATACAGGGTGTCCCATAAGCTCATGATCAAAAGGGTACTGCGATATTTTTTGGACCAAAAGAAGACGATCTGACTTAACTTTTATTAACCAAAAATGTCTGGCTCCTCTGTTATTGATGGTCCAAGTTTATCAAAATTTTTTTGAAACATCGGGAAAATTGTACGATGTATTTTAGTGAAACTCGCTGTGAATTTGTTGTTATGTAAGACTCATATTTTGATGAAACAATCGCGTTCAGCCGTTTTGGACAAGTGGTGAATTCTTGAGTGTCGTGGTACAAAAACTTTTTTTCGGTTGATGCACTAATCATTTGTTCACAATTTTGTTCCTTTTGTAAGATCTTGTAGCATTCGTAGTTTTTGCATAAAAAAAGATGTCTCTTTTCTAGTCTTGCTTTGTCTAGTCTTTGCTAGACATTTCTCTAGCATTAACGACTAGACATAGAAGTGACTAGAAGACAAATTGTCTTAGCAAAACCCTAATACCTAAAGAGCACAAAATTGTGAATAAATGATTAGTGCACCAACCTAAAAAAAATTAGTTGATTTCATCCTCCAACTAAAAAGTTCTGGTAGTTTTTGTACCACGAGACTTAAGAATTCACTACTTGTCCAAAATGGCTGAACTCGATTGTTTCATCAAAATATGAGTCTTACATAAGAATAAATTCACAGCGAATTTCACTAAAATACATCGTACCATTCTCTCAATATTTCAAAAAAGATCAATTTTTTGAAAAACTTGGACCATCAATAGCAGAGGAGCCAGACATTTTTTGTTAATAAAAGTTAGGTCAGATCGTCTTCTTTTGGTCCAAAGAATATCGCAGTACCCTTTTGATCATGAGCTTACGGGACACCCTGTATATACATATATAAATAATTTATAAAATAAGTAAGAATTTATAGAAATTTTGAATTTGTGGCAACAGTTTCTGTAAATTGACACTATTTTTGCAATTTTCATAACAATTGACTTGTTCATGATTTTACTACTTTTCTTGATGGTGTTTTCTGGGGATATGTAGTTTTGTACCACCTTTCGCTCAATAAACTTTGCAATTTTTTCCCACTTCATTTTAGTTGACTTTCTAAACACTTATCACCACGTCGTAGCAGCACCGGCAAAAATTATGACTGTGTAATGTTCCGAAACGTTAATGTGTAGCAAATCTCTGTCGATAAATTCCCATTTGGTGGAGATACCAGCTTAACAGTAGTAAAAAGAAACACTTAACCAATCGACCTAATAACTAAACAATACTAACAAGAACTAAAGTGTGAGCCAAAGCTAACCCAAATACATAAAAAATCAACTAGAAACAAAATATAGATTTGGCAAATGCGCGAAATTTTTGGAACTGAGTGGCCATGACGTCTTTGTATATAGAGATCATACACGTCATGACGTCCTTTGTTTTCTTATGGAAAAGTAATGATTTGCAATGAATGATAAATGATTGAAAAACGCATGACCCGAAGAAACACACCTACATGAAAGCATGGCGTTTCCATTAACATTAAATTAAAAGTTTTTCTCGCCAAATTTATGCACAAGGCAAGGTTTTACTCGTTGAAACTCACAGGTAACTTCGAATTTCTCCGGCACGGGCGACACGATAATCTTTCTTTTTTCCTTAAAGCGAATGAGCTTTTTCATAGATGGTATATATTTTTCTATTGATGTATTCCACGTTTTTTACAGTCGTCACTGGTAGAAGGATGTCGCTTGCCCGTCCAAATGAAAGGTACAGCAGACTGGCGTAAGTGATCTATACAGATATTGAATCCGTCATGTAAGGACTAATAATGTTTTTTCTAGCTCTAGCCGAAATAATCAGTCTCAAAGACATTCAAGGGACAAAGTGGTATTATGTTCACTATGTAGACTGTAAGTATATCACAGAAGCAAAATTTTGGTCCTTTCTTCTAGTCAATATTGGCAAGAATCCAACTATTACTATAGTTGGATATATTCGTTTAAATTTTCTAGTTAATAAGCGGTTAGACGAATGGGTAACCGAAGAATGTTTGGACACTAGAAAAGTTCATTTTCCCCGAAAGGATGCGGCTCCTGGAACAGGTGTAACCACACCAAAAAAGATTCATATTGGGAGCGGAATTGGAGGTGGAATTAATAGTGGATTAAGTACCAGTGCTCAAACCTCCAGACCATCCAGTCCCATTTTAAGTAATACGGATTTGTTGAACGGGAATGCTGTGCTTGCTGCTGCTTTGCAAAACAAAATAAACAGGTAAATATAAAAATTAAAAAATGAAAAATCGGGCAGAAAGACCGATTGGGTCGATAGCCTTTTTCTGTAGGAAATAAAGATTATTTATATATATATAAAATCATTGCGAAACCATTTAACTCACTAACCAGAGTTTGGGCTGTGATTGTCTTAATTTAAGACTGACAACAGCTTTCCTGCTGGAAATCTATTTTAAAGGCCAAATGCTTATTTTGTGGAACTGGAAACTTTGCAGACTAACTTGGAAGATTGAGAATAGTTTTTTTTTATGAATACAACTAATAAAACGTTAACTGATAAAGTTAATAAACAATTGATGTTGCTCTAGCTCGAAAAATTAAAACCAATTTTTACAATTACAGGAAGAAAAAAGGTCCTTCGCTCGAAAGTGAAGATTCACAAGATGGTCCTTTGGTTCAACCGCAACAGCCTCAAGGTCCACGACAGTCTGGTAGCATGGTTTCACATCATGATGACATCGTAACTAGAATGAAGAATATCGAGATGATCGAATTGGGGCCACATCGAATTAAACCTTGGTATTTCGCTCCATATCCTCAGGTAAGATATTATATCTTCTCCTAATAGCCAGGTTTTTGTGCGTCCCTGGATGGAGCTGCTACAGCAGGAACGTTTCGGTTTTAAGTTCAGTGATAAACAGTGTTTTAATTTCAATTAATTAATCAAATATTTGATTATTTTTGCAGTCGTTTAAAAATATAGAAAAACAAAAATTTGTGTTCCGAGGCTAGCGAGAAAAAGAAGCGTTATTTTTTCAGTACTGTTGACAGACATTTTTAGTTATACTGGAAAGGCTAAAGGGTAAATTTAAGAAAACTTGAATACATTTATAACTTTACACAACCGTAACAATTAGATCAAAATTCTGTTTTTTAATTTTCATCACAAACTTTGCCCATATTGTTATATTGAAGTTCGTTTAATTTAAAATTTTTGATTTGCTGCCCGGACTTAAAACCATTTGAGATGAATCTGAGTAAGTTTGTAACGGAGAAAACTAACGACGCACATCCGGCGGTAGCAATTTTCTTGATAAATTAATCTGGGGACAAACTGTATAAAAATCTAATAGAAATTTATAATTGGTACGGTACTAACACTCTTATTTGTTTAGGAAATGGTAAATTTAGCCTGTATTTACATCTGTGAGTTCTGTCTAAAATACCGTAAAAGTAGAAAGTGTCTTGAAAGGCACGTGATCAAATGCAATTTGAGACATCCTCCGGGAAATGAGATCTACCGAAAAGATAACATTTCATTCTTCGAAATCGATGGACGAAAGAATAAGGTGTATGCTCAAAACCTCTGTCTGCTTGCCAAGTTGTTTCTTGATCATAAGACTCTTTACTACGACACGGACCCATTTTTGTTTTACGTGATGACGGTATTCGATCATCGGGGGTTCCATATCGTTGGATATTTTTCGAAGGAAAAAGAATCGACAGAGGATTACAATGTTGCTTGCATACTCACTTTGCCGCCATTTCAACGAAAAGGATATGGAAAACTGCTCATTGAATTCAGTAAGCTCATCAGCTAATTTATTCGGTTATTTTGATGATTCAATGCTGTCTTGTAGGTTACGAATTATCAAAATTTGAAGGAAAAACAGGCTCACCAGAAAAACCTTTGTCGGATCTAGGGTTGTTGTCATACAGGAGCTACTGGGCACAAACTATACTGGAGATCCTTCTTTCTATTAAGCCAGTGGGCGAGAATGAAAAACCCCAAATCACCATTAAGTACGTTTTACCGTCTGAGTTCAAAAAATAAATTACGAAAATATTTATTTATAGTGAAATCTGTGAACTGACGAGTATTAAAAAGGAAGACGTAATATCTACGCTTCAAAACTTGAACCTGATTAACTACTACAAGGGTCAGTATATAATAACGCTCAGCAAGGAAATTATTCAGCAGCACTACGGAGCTATGCAGAGTCGAAAAATAAGAATTGACTCTAAATCGCTTCATTGGACACCCAAAGATTGGGGTAAGCGTGCCAAATGGTAAAATAATTTGTGCAAGATAATATTTATGTACATAGCAAAAAGTCTTGATGGTTAGGATACAAATGTGAGATTTTTATTTCTAATTTATATGTGAAAACTTTGAGAAACATATTTGTTTTGATAGTACATATGTTACATTGTGTGAAATCTAAAAGTGATATAATGTAGTTTTTATTTAAATAAAATTGTAACACAGATGAACTATTTTTAATACGTTTTTGCCAACATTGCCGCTGCGAAAAAGATATAAAATTACTGAACTGAACTGATACGGGGTCTTGAGTGTTGACCGTTTTAATTCTTTTTGCCTGATTTATTTTATATTTTGTTTGACTGATGTAGGAAATAACAACGTTGACCCATGAGTACAAGAATTAGTTATGTTCAAACAAAAAAATACTTTATTATTGTAGTTCTATACACTTAAGCAACTTTGAATCAAATTTATCCATGTTTAGCTTGGAAATGTGTAATTGAAATGTTTAGTTTCGACGATTTTGCATTTAAGTACATAGAGTTGATAATACTCATATATGCTTCAAATTTACATGAAATATGTTATAGACAAACCGCCGCCGATGCATGAGCTACTTACAATAAATACTTATGATAATGCCTTATAATGGATGAAACAAAATAAATATAATTTATTTAAATAAATAATACTACTACTACTACTACTACTACTACTACTACTACTACTACTTCCTCCATAAGGCTATTCATGAATTATCACGGTTAATTTTTATAATAAATATTAGAGGTAATTTTCTAACAATAACACATAGATAGGTACATTACAAGCACTAAAAGCCGAGTTTACATAGAATAAATCTCAGACAGAAAGCTTTTGCATTATTTACTATAGTTAAACAGTGTTACTGAGTATGCATTGACCGGCCAAAAAAGCATCCTGCGTACACATATACATAAATTTGGAGCGATAACTGACTGGTTTTCATATAGCAAACGCTATATTTTAGTTTGTTCTTATTAATTCTTAAGTTTTATGCTGCAAATAATGTTGTCGATTATCAAAATCGTTAAAATAGTTCAGTGGGAAATCTCATTGATCCCGTCAAGGTAACGGCCAAGGCAATCCCGAAAAATCCACTGGACCGCCTAAACCAGCGTCTGCCTCTAACAGACTCATAATCACCGCCATGGCGGCTTCGTCGTTTCCATCCATACCGGTTACTCCATTACTCTGGTTTGGTGACTGATGGACATCGTCATTCGAAATCATGTTAATGATTTCTGAGGGGTTTTCAGATGTGTTTGAAACGTTCAACACTGGAATGAATAACAATTGTGAATTATGTAAAAGTTGCGTGTCTTTGTGGGGTTGTTAGAAGTTGCAATGTCGGACGGTTATTGGATGAGTAGATGACCGTAGGACGATAGCGATTAATTGCCGATTAAACTGACTGAAACTGAGAAACTACTAAACACGATTTAATTAAATGGCTTAAGAATGAATTAATTTCAAGTGTGATCACTTCTCTAAGGAAGAATTTGGAAGAACCAGCTTTGCTTTCTTCTGGACAGACATACTTCAAACATGTTCATTTGACGAATTAATTAGTGAAGATTGTACTATATTTGTTTTCAATTTATATTGCTTGGACGGAAAATGGCCGGTTGGGATTGTGTATTCATAACATTCCTTTTAATTATTTACTAAGATTTAATCACAGGTTGATGTTAAAAGGAAGTTTTCTGTTGAATAGAGCTGATAGTGGTACAGATGGATTAAATCTTCAACTCTTACTGAACACTGAGTACATTCAGATCACCGAGATGAAATAAAATTTGCACAGAACCTTTAAATGTGTGAGCCCTTGTTTCTTTGAAACTTGAAACGATCTTAATTTTTATCGTAGTTAATATGTCGAAGATGGAACCTTAGGTCTCCGCCTGAAAGGAAAACTTTATGCTTGTTTGACGTTTTGCATTCTAAGTTTTGAAGAGCGCAATTCAATTTACAACCACAAATAAGCTGTAACGCTGACCATTTAGCAACGGAAAAGCATCTCGATTTCGATTAAGAAAGGTTATTGAGTGATACCTGCATGAGAGATGGTACCTGCAAAACAAATATTGTGATTCTAAAACGGGCCCCATTAAAAAGTTCTTAATTTCAATTTATTTACAGATATTTCTTGTTTTTCTCTAAAGTAATCGCATTTAACTCGACCTGAATTTCACCGTATTCGCTCCGCTAACATGGCTCCAAATTGAAACATCCTGCTTCTACAGTGTAAAGTATTTTCAGCGCTGTAAGTTGATTTTTTTGTTTATGAAAAAGTCTAGAAGAGAACCCGTTTTAGCACCATCTTTATGATTCCACCCTTCTTCAACAAATTATATATATTTAGGACACTATTTCGATTTAGTTAGGTGTGTATTCAGATATATTTTCAAATTTTGTAAACTTACCCGGTTCATTAACGACACCGTTAATATTCACATTATTCGTTACGCTTTCAAACGGTTGAGTATTTTGAACGAAACTTGACATAACTGCAGAGTCTCTGAAATTGTCCGAATTGGAGACGCTGGTAGAAATTTGGGCCTAAAAGCATATAGAAATACGTTGCAAGTTTGACTATGTGGCGTTTGTGATTATCAGGTGGATTGGTTACTCACGTCTCCATTAGGTAAACCTGATATGCTCGATTCTGGACTCGGACTGTTAGAACAAGAATCCGGGTTTCGTCGCTGCGAATCCATCAACAATTCGGCGATTTGTTTGCCAATTTTGCTTGCTTCGACATGCGAATTGATCGCAGTCTGGATGTCTTTATCATAGACTATAAAATATTGCCGATTTATTTATTTAAAAGACAAATTTTCAAAACTGATACATTAGTACCTATTGTGCAGTTTTGCACTCTAAAATTTAGCTGTGAAATCTTACCGTTCGAGAAAAATTCATAATTTTCAATGTTTTCCGTCCTACCCGCCGTACTTTCCACCATTCGAAAATCACTTCTGAAATCATACAATGTGTATATTGAGTCGAGACTTTTCAATTCCCTGGAAGTTTTCGTGATCATTAAACAACACTTACAGAACCAAGTTGTTCTTGGATATTACATATTCAATTTCTTTCGTCCATGGATTTTTAAAAGATCTCCATTCGCTCTGCAGCCTGACGAAACCCCCTTCTTTAGTCCGAAACCTCGAAACAACAGAATATTTTTAGGCATATGCAACTCTTTAAGTGCTCAAAGTTTATTCATATGTTAGTATATTACCTATAAACATTAGTACGGACATATTCACTTGTTTGAAGCGCCATTTTATGTTTGTCGGCCAAAAGAGGAATGTCGTCGTTATGATAATACTCGTACATGCTGGTACCCAACATTTCTTGCGGCAGATATCCAAGAACCAAAGTAGCTCTGTGGGATTTAATTGAGGATTTAATTAAGGATTTTTAGGGCTGATATTTTTGTGGTACGCACCTTTGATCTACGAATATAAACTTTCCATCCAGGGCATGTCTGGACATGAACTGGATAGGCCTGATTTTAGTGCTATTATGGCTGCTGACTGCCACAGTGGAAATGTGAGGCAAAATTCGCCCAATTGCAACTAAACAGGATAAGTTGCACGAATCAGAATCCCCGTCTTCCTGTTCTTCCACCCCTATTTTGGCTGGAGCCCATGATTTTAGATAGCCAGTGCATTGGATTACGTTGAACTTTTTATCTAATTTAACAAACAAATTAACTTTTATGTGTTCAGAGTTTCTGCTGTGGGTATTTTCATTTCATTGCATTTACCAGAGTTAAGTTTAGTCGTTCTCCGTTGGGAGCCAGTAGTCGTGTCAGCTTCTTCTTTGACTTGTGAGGCCATCCGGCACTTCATTCTGCAAAAAAACGACCTTCTGGCACCCGGGCATAATCTCGAAGCTCCATGGGGAACATCGGTTTTGACTGGTAGCATGGCTAGGGCAAAAACGCTAATTTGGATAACTAATTAATTAGTTTTTATATATCTAATTCAAGTAACTTAATTTTAAATAAAATACTTTTACTAATGAACACTTGTTTCCAATTTTATTAAAAATATTAAATATATCCATTATAGCGCCACCATACAATTTGAACCTTTCCTGTGACATTTGAGAAAACCTTACCTACAACTCTTTGCAACAAGCCTTATATCATATCTATAACTACTAGGTTGGGCTGTTAGTGCCGTCAAAAAATTAACTGAATTTGGGTATGGTTTCGCCATGTTAGAGTGACCCTTTATTTATGTTTGAGTGACCCACTCAAAAAAATTATTTTCGCAAATCCTTTATATTTTGAATTTTCAGCTATATCAAAAAGAAAACAATAATAACAATTAAAATAAGGAATTTTTTTTCTCTCAATAGCACTTGACACTGACTATTGTGTGAAAGTTCTAACCGCTTGATTCGATTTTTTCAATCACCCTTTAAAGCGTACATTTTTAGTCTCAAATCGGCTCTAAAATTCTTAACTAAGTTTTTTGCTTTTACTTGTAGACTTGAATTAGTCGGCCAAAGCTCTAGCGTTAAAAAAGTCGTCAATTATTCTTTTGAAACTCAAACATTTATTCAAAATTTTACTTGTTAATTAATTTGTATATTCATAATTAATCGCTTTTTAACATTTTTCCAATAGTAGATACTAATTTTGACTTTATATTTTTTACACTGTTTATTTTTTGGTGCTTCGAAGAAATTACTTTGTTTATTCGTGAAAGATAAAAGCGATAATTGACGACGAAAATCGTATTTGGAATTCGGAATCTATTTTTAACACATAAAATATCATATATTTTAAATTTATTTCAAACGTGATTTTTAAGTCTTGTTGATTTTTTCAGACGTTTTTTGGGTAGACTGACGATTTTACAATACTTCAATTTCCAATCATAATAACAGATTTCAGGGTTTTTGAGTGACTGTCTGAATCGTGTTAGGATCAGTTGTGGAAAATTGTTATAATTTTTCTGAAATATATTAAATTGCATTTTAATTACTCACTTTTGGCATCAATGAGTCTCTCTCGAGGATTTAAATCAGATGAGGACAATTGTTCTTTGACTTTGGCTACATCTTTAGGGTGTAGAATATCAAAGAGACTTTGTCCGAGAAGGTCAGTCTGCAGCAACAATAACAAATGCAGTATTTTCAAGTAAACTTACTCGATTCGATAAATGTATATTACCTGGCTGTAGTTTAGAACCTTCGAAACTGATTGTGACACGTACAAAATCCTCCCTCTGTCGCAACCAACCACGAAAAGAAAACCATCAGCAGCCTAAAAGTTACAGATAAAAATAAAACAGATTGTTTCTGATCCACTCGTTCGAGCTGTTTAATCTTTACCTGTAAAATTAAGTTCTTCAATTCCTGATCTGTTAGAAACGAAGGTTTGTAATGGCCCTCAGTATACGAATGGACTGCGCCTCTTATTGTTTTTATATGTTGCACGGCCATTCGTAAAACCGTCAGTTTGTCCAGTTTTCGGGACATTGCATGGCACATGGGGATCATGGCAGACAATTCCGTAATGTAAGTGTTCATTTTGTCGCGTCGTCGTTTTTCTATTTCGCTATGATTTTGCCTTTAACAAAAATAACATTTTGTATCAAAGATCTCTTTTGCGAATTACTGCTTCTATCTTATAATTCGCGAGCGGATTGTGCAAATTTAAGAAGCATGGTGATTGGAAGCAAACATTTTTTATAAACAAGTAAATATCCGTTTTGCCATGTTCAAGATATAGTCCACAAAGCTATAACATTTGATTGAACAAGAAGACGTTGATCTGCGGGCCATTTTATTCAAACAGATAAGAAATGAGTAATTTTTGGAAACATATAACATTTAAGTGTGGATCGAGAGTTTTTTCAGTTTCGATGATTTTGCTACTGTTTTAATAATAAGCATCGTAGGTAATCGGATGTTCGAATTTATTAAACGCAAACATTTATTTCAAAATAAAAAATAATTACATATAATTCATGTGACCAAAACATTTTTGCTGTTTGCAACTGTCGCGATAAGAGGACAATCGGCCATTTGTTTAGAAGTGATTTTTGATTTAAAATCATCTCGGAGATAAGTTTCTTACAGTTTTATCAATAAAAAGTCAGTAAAAAAAACGTATTCCGTTTTAATCAAACTCTCCAAAACGAGGTTGTCTTAAAATCCAGCCATAACTTAAGACATATTAACATAATAACGAATAAAATTTGTCAAATCCGTCGGTTTATTAACCAGGGTTGTTCAAATAATCGCATTTAGGTCTCAGGACTTTGTGTAAAGATTCTACAGCTTCGGGTACAATATGTAGATACTTGTAGTAAATAGTGTAGAACTTGCAGTAAATACCGACTGAAATAGGTAATTTTAAATCGCGTGCTTTAGTTTGAAGAACCTACAGTTGTCTGCTAGTGATTAAGTATGAGCACACATTATTTGATATTGCAATACTGCACAAAAATGAACCGTTAGCAAAATTATGAAATTAATTTGTTATTAAATAATCTAACCTTAGGTTCTAACGGTATAATGCATTCTTTCACCCGATTTATCTGTCTTAGTGACCTTCTATGAAAAAAACATTTTAAACGGTGACTTGGTAAGGATTAAACGGTTCATTCTCCTGGGAACAGCAGCAACATTAATATGTCAATGTTGGAGGAATTAATTTATATAAATTATTTATTTTTGTTGAAGTTTTGATCCAAATTCATCGTGTCCATTACATTCTCATTGTCATCTAAATTTCCACGAATTTCTTTCTAGCTTACCCATTTGAATATCCCGCATATTGTGGTTAGTAATGTACAAATCTAGATAACGTAATTAATAACTTACATTGAACTTAAAGAAAATTATAGCTTTTCCAGCTTTTCAGTGGCATATTTATGCATTTCAATTAAAAACAATAAAAAACGCAATTTATTTGTGCTGAATGTAAATAATTCAAGAAACCAACAGTGGGTGTGACGAGAAAAAATGCAGTTTATGACTTTTATTCTTGTAAGATTGTAACGGTTCTATTTGTTTACTGCCTAGAGTTATTACTAATACAGGATGATTATAGGAAAAACATTTTCAGTTGAAAATCATTGATTACTACTGTGTACACATTTTTGCTATTAGCGAAAGCAGTAAGAAATTTAATTTAAAACATGAAGGTGCGTTTTTCCTCTTCTGTTTTTTATGTTGAAAATATGTTTATTTCAGTATATCATCGTTTGTTGAGGTTTTTATTTATTAATATAATGTGATTTTTTAGCTATTTACTGAAGAACAAATAATTAAATAATTATTTGTAAGCATGTCTATTTTTCGGTCCAGGCCTGTGAACTCAAAATTTTATGTTTAATGAAAGACTACTGAATGACATTGATACTTGCAAATCTATATAGACTTGAAAAATTTACACTTTCTTCATAGACATCCTGTATTTTAAGGCGTCTGTCGATTTTTCTGTTTTTTTATTCGCAACTTTTCAGTACTTTAAACTTCAATTAATTGATTGATTGATAAATCCTTAAATTTGACTTGGATTTTTAATTTAAATTTCTGTATTGCACATATTTCAGGACCAATATATTCAGCCAGAAATTACGTTTTTTAAATTGAATAAATTGTGAATTTTTGGAACTCTAACCGCTGATTTGCGACGCGTGAAGTCAGTAGACGTTATTTTTTGCCGTGATTATTATTTTCCTTTTACTTTCGATTGATCATTCACACTGTAATGGCATAACTGTAAAACAGTGCAAGCCAGATCGCCTTGAACTTGATTTTGTATTGTGCCGTTGCATTGGGTTCGCCTAACTGCATTACTGTTCCGTAGAATGCAATTACGTCAGTTATATTCTATTTATGTTCCATATCAGATTTTCACTCTTTTTATTTAATTATTCGAACATGAAACTAAAGTTTGAGAGCTTCACAAATTTAACTGTGTCTCAATATGATTGATTATCCAATTGAACTTCCCAACTATCTGAACTTTGAGTAATCATTTTTTTAAATGTACCATTTACTTACTTTTTATTTTCGTCGGTCTTTGTAGATTTTGCATCTTCTCCGTTGTCATCATCTACATCGCTGATGTCACTGTAACCAGTTGTGATTATTTAAAATATCTTAAAGTATGGGTGTGCTTGCGCGTATATATAATCACCAACAGTATTTAATAACTTGTGAGTGTAATAAAGTTTTTCGGAGTTTTAGGCCATCGCTCAAAATAATTTCTTTCCGTGCAAACGAATCGCTTGCATCCTCAGAAATTTCCCGCTGGACAACTTAGTTCAGGGTAAGCTTTCGAGCTGAAGTTGTAAGCCCCTGATGCATGCGAAACATTAGGAGTAAGTTCTTTCCGACAACTTAAAAGTGCCAAAAATTCACCAGTTTCTTTCCAGTCTGTGTTCGAATGCTTCTTCTATTTAGATATTTAAAATCATGCTTCCACTTCTTATCAACATGTCTATGACTTGCATTAACAATGCGGTAAGATGTTTAAATTTACACCACATTAATAACAAGCAGTTCAAAAATTTGAAACCCTAGAACTCAAAACATCCATAATTTTCGTAATAGTTCACACGTTCACCGTTGAACAATACACAGTTAATTAAAGTTATGCCCTTTGAAGTAGGACTATGAAAGGATTCTCTTAAGAAGTTCTGTCGCAACTGCTGTTTATGTTTATGCTTTATTCGATAATGGGTCAATTGTTTCACCTTGTGCACAAACACTTCGAAGAAAAAGTGACTGCAAAAGTTAAAAACTTTCCTGAATTCAAAAGTTACATACTGTGAGATTTTAAATATTATATTTACTGTTAAGTTTCGCTAAATGCAAAATACATTAGCAACTTAAGAGGAAAGTAAATAAGTTATTTAACATAATTTATATCTTGTTATGTAACACTTTCGTTGAATAGTTTGTACTTTCAATACATTTCGTAACTTTGATATTGGGAAGTAATCAGAACCCCGAACAGTGAGCACACATCTTAGACGTGAAGTCCCTCAGGTGCTTATTTCCCATGGATACCATGTATGATCAAAGATATTTTGATTAGATTTTCCCGTTTATACAAAGAGAAGTTACTAGATTGACTTAGTTATTAACTATGCTGCGTTCTACTTACTGAAATGAGGCTTTTCTTTTTCGTTTGACTGTCGGGTTTAGGGTGGTGTCCACACCCTGACCCTCCATCATGGAGGAAGTACATGTCGAACTGGGCAGGGAGGCCGAATATGAAAAGGAGGACGAACATGGATCCCTATACAAAATCGAATCAATCAGTTTAAGGTTTTCGCAGTTTAACGGCTGTTCGTGCGGTTTTCGTTGACTTTTTAAACTTCCAGAGCTATTTGATCTAATTGAATAAAATGCTGACCTGGGTTTACGTTTTTGAGGACCTTGAACTAGACTTTGAACTTAAAATAATCTAAATTTAACGCGACTGGTTCGCATTCAACGTAATAAGATTATTACGATGACACAATAGGTCTTCGCAAATCCATAAATAATTAGAAATAACAGAAAACATATTTTGCTCGTTTTTAATTATTAATCAAGTTTGCAAAACAACCAAGTACAAATGCACGATTTGCGATTTAATCTAATAAAAGTTAAAACGGAATATAATTTATTAAGATAAAGTTTAAAATTGTCAAAAAACTCGCTGAAAACATATGCAGTTGGTCCTACTTATAATTTACATAAACAAGAATGAACATGTAGTTGGAAAACTTACTCAGCGATATTGGTCAACTCATAGTAAGTCGGCTGGTAGTTGCCGATGGGTTGGGGTGGCAAGTTATGCTGCACTATCGTCGGTTTCAGTTCGTCCAAAGAGATAAAATCCCGTTCATCATCAGGTGGAATATGAAAGAGCCGCGAATATGGTATATCCTGGACGGAGAAATTGCGCGCCACCATTTTTAGCATGTTAATGGGTTTTCTAGTATTAACTCGTTGAACAATTCAGCCGATACTTCAGTGAAGATTTTAGCAGATGTAAGAAAAGTATTTCCGCACTTTGCCTAATGGGGTCGAAAATTATTATATTGCCGCTTTACATATTCTAAAGAACAGTTGGATGAATTTAAAAAAACTGCATGTAGTTAGAGTTACCAGCTAAATAAGCTGTAGTTGTAGGTTGCAATCAGAGCTTGTTTCAGTTTTAGCTTACTTTGCGCGCTTGAAAGAAAATGCATAAAAAAAAATTAATTAACCCAATGCTATTGTATATGATCCTGTGCGCATCTATTGAAGTTATGTCGTTATGTTCACCTCACCAAACGCATAAAGAAACTTCATCTCTTCAACTCACTAAGATTCATCGAAGTACGCAAATACTAAACGCGTTGGTGCCCGTGCGACATTCAAATGTTTAGGAGCGCGATCGAGCGCACTTTTAAATAAATCCCTGGTTAACGCTGTTGGCGTAAATGTCCCCAATAAAGCGCTGTGATTGGTTGCGGTGGCGAAAAAACAGACAAAGTTTTTGGTAGTCATGACTACTAGGTGGTGTGTAGGAATGATTAGAAAGCGCGTACTTGAGAGGGATGGTTTTTCGTTTATTTATTAAATGGTTTGCTAGAACTTTGACAGAAACAATAATTTCTGGGTGTTGACAAATATCGCTAGAAACAAGTTACAAAAAATAATAACTTTTTGATGGTTAATTTTTAAGTAGTTTATCTTTAAAAATATGTTCGTATTCGAAGTTTTCAGGATGGGTTTTAAAAATTTAATACGGATTTACTTATGTTTTTTTGTGGCGAAATACAATTTATACAATTGTGTATAGAAATTGCAAAAATCTAGTCATTATTTACGGTGGAATACTAATACCGACAGGAATTTTTAACAGGTTTTAAGTCAGTTTTTGAAACCGAATTTGTTCATATCGAGCATAGAGGTAATACATTTTAAAATATTTAAAGTGAGCGTGGAATTCAAATAGAACTTATATACACTTTTTCTTTGAGAAAAAATTCAACGTTAAAATTTTTTTTTGTTGATATTTATGTGTAAATTTTAACTAAAACAATAAACCGTCTGTCGTTCCCAACTTGATTTAGCAGATAGGAAGTTTTTTTTAACTCGTATAGTCGTACGCGGTTCCGCTCTGTAGGTAGGTACATCTAAACTTATACTTTACTCAATTGTGGTACTTGCCACAACAGTGCTTATTTAAAATGTATATTACTACAAATTACTATAAAAAAGATAAAAGTTCTCCCAAGGATTCTGTACACTTTGCAGCCCTAAACGCTGTTTTCGATACTGCCCAAATGACGACATATTCTCTAATGGAATTTTTTCGAAGGTCTAAAAATTTACTTGGGTAAGCATGTTGGGCTCAAATTATTTACAGATTGTTCGTAAAAAAATGTAAAATTTGTCATATTAAATATTAGGAAAATTTGTTTAAATTTTCTCGATTTTTTCGGAAAAGCGTATTTAGTTTCAAAATAAGTATTATTTTTGTTGAGAAGAAAACACTTTTTCATACTTAGTATTAGAAAGCCTTCTTATAATAATATATGGCTCCTGTCTGACGGAAAAGAAAAGTTTAGGTTGTAATACTTAAATTATATATTAATTATAAACAACAGACATTGAAAAAAATCAAAAAAGTGCATATTTTAATGAAGTGAAATCTGTTCATTTCAGGACAGTAAGCTAATGAAACTGATACTTATTTTTGTATCTGTACACGCTGCTGTAAGAAAAATGGGAGTTTTTAGATTTATATATCGTCACAATATGAAAAGTGCGCTAATTCATTTTCCGAAATCAATACTTTGATGGCATCTGCATTAAGCACGTTAAATATCTACGATTTCGTGTAAACAATGCATCTTAAAAGTAAACAGAGACCAACTGTCGAAAATATTAACGTCGGTGAAAATGTTGCTTTAAAAAATGACTTGAAATATGATAACTATTTTAGCGCGAAAAACAATCCAAGTGATATATGGAACAAAAAAAACACAGAATAACAACAGTCATTTAGATAATGAAAGAGCTGAAAGCGAATACAGATATGAAAACGATGTAGATCACAAACCGACTAAGTTAAATTGACGACTGGGAATATAAAAGTAAGAAGAAGAAAATTAGAAAAGGAGACATGTGTTTGGGAAGAAAAGGCAATACATTTACAGTTAAAAGATACAGAAGAGGTATACAAAAGCGCTACTATTGTTCAAAGGATAAAACTTTCTGTATTTTAATGTTTTAAACATAAAGAAGAATAAATACAACACCCCAGATAGCACAAAATATTACATACATATTTAGAAAATATTTATATGTTTGCTAAATATTTCAGATCGAAAGCAAATATTTCTTAAATATTATTTTTTAAATATTTGTTTCTAATATTTAATTAGCATGAAACAAATAAGTTATTAATAATTTTCTTATTACATAATACTTTTTGTACCTATATATAACAACCATAACACCCAAAAAGTTACTAATATATTATTTTTAATAAATGTGAACAAACTTTAGAACATATTATCTGAATTTTCATTGATC